TTGTCTGAACATGGGAAATATAGTACATTGAACATGAAAAATATAGTACCTTGAACATGGCAACTGTAGTACATTAGACATGGCAACTATAGTACATTACACATGGCAACTGCAGTACATTAGATATGGCAACTGCAGTACATTTTCAACCGGCCATCGTTATTTCCACACCAACATTCTCAATGGAAGCACATTGCATAAAACATGGCAACTGCATTTTATTAAACATGGCAACTACAGTTGAGTAAACATGGCAATTGCATTTCAGCAAACATGGCAGTTGCATTTTAGTAAACATGGCAATTGCATTTCAGTACAAATGGCGACAACCTAACATTTTCAGTTGACATTGGCATTTGCATACCAACTTGTCCAATGGAAGTACAGTGCATTAAACATGATAGTTGTATTTCATTGAACATGGCAACTGCATGTGAGTAAGCATGTCAAACAGTATTTTCATTGAACATGGCAATTGCAGCTGAGTAAGCATGGCAAACAGTATTTCATTAAACATGTCAACCACAAATCATGGCAACTGTATTGCATTTTATATGGGACCTACTGCCTTCGTGCTTTGTGTAAATAAGACTGTAACGCAACTGACTTACTTGTTAAAGATCTTGTTGGTGTATATCTTGCTCATCCGCCTCTCCATCGATAAATACGTTAGTAATTTTGGCTGCTTTAGCACGGTGTTCACTTCTTGTTGTAGCTCAGATCCCAGTATTTTTTGTTGCAAAGTTGTGTACTGCTTGGCAAACTGTAGCAATGAGTTGTCAGGGCTCACGTACCGCTTTAAAACAGCATTGAACCCCTCGCTGTGCTGTGTAGTCTGCAGAAAAGGGAAGAAGCACTGCATGAAGTAGGCCGGCACCCAATACATTCGCTTCTCCCACATGCTAGCAAGAGTCTCGTTGTTTTGGACTTGATATGTTTCAATCATGGCCATCCAGCTCCTTTCAAACTCCTCCACCATCAAGCTGTGGTCCATGCACAGCTTGAATGCCTTGTGCAGCTCCGGACGGTCAGCAAAGAACGGTCCTAGCAACTCCTCAGACTTCTTTATAATTTGCCATCTACAGTGCATGTACACTGCCAATAGAAAGACCTCCTCTATGACTACACACATACTAAAATCCTGGTCAGTTATTATGTTCATCGGAGCAAGTCCATCCATGCACTCCAAGAAGGTCTTGAACAGTCAAACGTACCCATCCGTGTCTTTGTTCCGAACGAGCCCGCACCCGAACTGCAACGATTGATTGTGGTTATTTATTCCTATGAATGGAGCGCACGGCATCTTGTACATATTAGTGAGATACGCCGCGTCGAATGAAATGCAATTTCGGAAATGTTTGTAGGCTCTTCTTGCAGCACCATCCACCCAATACATGTTCCTGACATGGTCCTCATCGTCCAACCTTATCATGTAGAAGAAATGTGGATCTTCCTTCGATTTCTCATCGAAGTAGGCCATCGTGGATTCTATGTCAGCCAACTTGCTCTCTCTACGGTATTTTGCCTTTAGGTTTGTGACGTCAGCTGGTATGTAGGGCATGCTACTCAGAGTCCCATTTTTGATGTGGATGAGTGATAGTATCTGCACCATTTTTGATGGACCGACGTTACAATCATGTAGCAGCTTTATGAATTTCCTCTCGAGTGGGGTGAATCCTCTGTGGGCAGTCGGAAACTTCACCAGGTCGAACTTCTTTATGAGTTTGTGGTTGTGCTCATCAAAATATTCGGTGACCACATATTGTGTTCCATCTACGTTCAGCTTACACCGGACAGGGCATCCCGTCTTGAGAATGATACCTCTCTTTCGTTCCGGAACGACAGGCGCAACACCTTTTCCCTTCTTGTTCCTTCGTGCCTTGTGGCACCTCATCTCACCTCTACTGTACTCATTAGTTTTCTTAATTTTCCTATGGTATTCGGTGTTGACCGCAAACCCATGGAACTTTGCATATGTCTGGTAGAATTCCTTTGCTTTTGCAAACGATTCAAATCTTTGCCCAACGTACGGTGGCTGAGGTACCACGATCTCTGATTGCCCATCATCTTCATCCCCTTGTGCTTCTCATCAGTTTCATTATTCACTTCAGTATCGGCGGCAGTTTCATCTACTTGAGTGTTGCCAGTGCTTGTGTTCAAAGGGGTGCATGTCGGCATTGTTGGAATGATTGCCATTTCCGACTCTGACTCGGCATGTTTGTGTCATGATTGTCGGCAGGCTGGTGGAACGCGTCTTCCGTGCGCTCAGAGCTCCCCGCGGTAGATGTCCCTGTGCCGCTGTTCAATGTAGTTGCAGGCCCTGTAATAGAAAAAACAGGTACGAGCGTAAGATTTTGCCATGAATAACATGTTTATCGTAACGGATCACATCAACTCCAAGTGATCTGGCATGACATCATTCAAACAGCAAGCCGTGAGTCTGCCCGTGGACATGCATGGCAACTATAGTTGTCCAGTCATGGCAACTACAGTCCAACAAACATGGCAACTAATGTTGCCAATGCATGGCAACCAGCTCATTTCAGTACAAAAACTTGAATTCTATATGCATGGCAGCTGCAGTCCTACATACATGGCAAATACTGCTGCCAACACATGGCAACCAGTGTGTTCTAGCATCAAAGCTTTTGTATTCTAGGCTTGAGCCTACTAGGCAAATGCGATCAACCATTAGTGCTGCACGCATGCTTTTAGCAGTTGGCAAATCCCGAAGACAATATATGACTCATTGCACAAACCACTTTTTAGTTTGATTTTTTCCACCATCACTGCTACAAATCTTCTGTTTTCTCACGTGCTATTCCCACAAAAACAAGTGCAGCGCTATTTTTGCGGTTCAAATTTTCCTTACCTTGTTGTGCTGCATGTGCCCATCTTGTGTGGTCTATCACACCAAAAAGACGTGCTCTATCTGCAATATGTGAAGCTTGCCATGAGATGTTTGTCGGGGTAGCACCACTGTAATAACCTGTAAGCATGGTAGTTGTTGGTCAATACATGGTGATTGCATTTTGTCCTGGCATGGCAACTGCAGTTGTCTAGGCATGGCAATTGCAGTTGTCCTGGCATGGAAACTGCAGTTGTCCAGGGATGGCAACTGCAGTTGTCCAGGGATGGCAACTGCAGTTGTTTAGTCATGGCAACTGCATTTTTTTTATTCATGGCAACTGCATTTTGTTTATTCATGGCAACTGCAGTTGTCAACTATACTCCTTCTGCTAATCCATCGTCTGCAACTTCACTTTTTATGGACTCACTTGTGTATGACATCGATGCAGGTACATGGGTGCCGCCTGATGCCACGTGTTGCATGAAGGCTCTGCATTTTTTCCGACATAACTCGTGAGTCTTTTGCCATCCTTTGCAAGTTTATTTTTCATGTCCAGACCAATATGTTTCTTTTTCGTATGCGTTACCTTGATTTGCCACATTAGCTACTTAAAGTTGGATGCCCGTACATTTGTCAGTGTTAGCGCCCTATGACTGAACTTGCCATGGTGCCCCCCTGAGTGTGTTTTGGTCATAAGAACCTGCGAAAAAACGACAGTGTAGGACATAAGTAGACTGTCATCTTCATCGTCGCGAACATGGCAAATGTTCTTTTTCTTTGTTATCATGCATCATACCAATGCTTGCGTACTGTTCTAGTAGTGGCAGCAACGGCCCTGCAGAAATGAGTTGACTGTACTCTGATGCATTCCAAGGGGGCGTTTCTGACCTTTGAGAACCGAAAAGATCAGCGCCATCTCCGTGACTCATTCTTTTCCGCGTCTCGTTTCTGCCAATGTGCTATCAATCACTGCATGAAGAAGAACGCATCAACAATCCACAAAAAATGTATCCTTGTGCTGCTTGGATGTAGAAGTTAACACGTCAGTGTTATCACATTGTCATGCGTAGGCAACCAACATATCATGGCTAGTAGGACATGTACATCCACTATCTTTTTTAAAATCTGGGTGCTAGCTATCCGTTCGATTCGATGGCATCAGCCACTACAATAGGATGGCAAGCAATAAGTTGACATGGTGGCAGTTGACGACAATGATAGATGGCAACTGACGTTAGACACCAGTGACAATTAATTTTCACACCCCCCCATTATTCCAAATTTCTCAATTTTCTCTACCTTTTTATGGATTCCTACACATCCATTCATTTACCAACTACGTGCATCAATCTAGTAACTTACGGTTATCTCTAACGTAGTACATGGCAGATCTAGTGTATTCTGCTTGGCAACTACGAAGACACACAATCCATGTAGTGTATTACCCCTGTACGATGGATCTAGTTGCCAACCTCGTCAGTAATTTTGCAATTTTCTGTGCCACGTAGAAGGATGAGAAGCAGTAGGGAGATCGGGAGATTCACCTGCTTTTAGCCGGTCGTCTTTGGAGGGCGTTGTTGGATTGGGGGTGGGGGGAGGGGGTGGGGTGGGGTGGGGGGTGTGGGGGTGTGGTTTATGGTGGGAAGGGCCTACGGATCTGCTGTGGTTGCCATGGCAACCAGAAAAGGCCGGCGATGGAGGTAGGGGTTCGGGAGGTGGGAGAAGATGACGGCAGTCGGGATTCGGGAGGTGGGAGAAGAGGCCGGGACGGCTGGATCGTGCGGGCTGCTGGGTCCTCTGGCCCGCACGTCCGGACGGAGTTGCCACACATCGGACGTGCGGGCTGTGCCTTTGCGCGCGCGGACGTGGTCGTGCGGGCTGGTTATTGTCCATGCCACACGAGGCGCGCGGGCGAGTTTCTGTCCATGCCACACGTGTGACAGTTATCGGGATCCTAGTGATTCTGTATTGGAGATTTGGAGGTCCCCGCACACTAGGAGGTTTCATGATTTTCTATTGAGCGAGGCCACACGCGGCACAGACCCTGGTCGAGCCGAACCAAGTAGAACGGGCCGTCTCACTCGCTTCTTCACCTCCTCCCCGACCCACCGACCCGGCGGCGCCCCCCACCCATTCCGCCGACCGCACCATGGCCCCACCGCCGGAGCTGATGGACGAGCTCGTCGGCGAGGTCCTCCTCCTCCTTCCTCCCGACGATCCCGAGCACCTCTTCCGCGCCGCCCTCGTCTGCAAGTCGTGGCTCCGCGTCGTCTGCGACCCCTCCTTCCGCCGCCGCTACCGCGCCTTCCACGGAGCCCCTCCCCTCCTCGGCCTCCTCCAACAGTTCCAAGTCCTCCAACAAAGGCCCGCGCCCCGCTTCACCTCCACCACGTCGATGCCAGACTTCCCCTACCCGGGCTCCGACGGCCAGGGCAAGCACCCCGTTCCCCTCGACTGCCGCCACGGCCGCGTGCTCATCCACATGGTGCAGGACGAGGGCCTGGTTTTCGTCGTCTCGGACCCGGTCACGGGCGACCGGCACGTCCTCCCCGCGCCGGGCATCGTCTGGCTCATCTGCACTGCCGCGGTCTTCTGCGCCGCCGATGGCTGCCAACATCTCGACTGCCAAGGCGGCCCCTTCCGCGTCGCCTTCCTGGCCACCGACGACGACGACCGCCAGGTTAAGGCGAGCGTGTACTCGTCGGTGACAGGTGCGTGGAGTGCGCCAGTATCTCTTGACGATGGTTGCGAATGCTATTCCCAGCACATCCGAGATGACATTGCAGAAAACCTCTACCACCTGCCCTATGTCATGCCCCGGCGAGTAGCTGTCATTGGAGATGAGGTCTACTTCACACTTCGCTCTGCTCACAAAATCGTCAAGTACAACTTGCCAAACAACTGCTTATCCATGATCGACCCGCCGCCACACACTAGGAGCCCAATTGCTCTCATGGTGATGGAGGACAGTTCGCTGGGGTTTGCCTGCACTGAGAGTTCTAGTCTTTATCTGTGGTCAAGGAAGGTGAATTCAGAAGCAGCTGCTGAATGGGTAAAATGCAGGAACATCGAGCTGGAGACAATTGTGCCCGTCGTGGATCCAGATTACCAACCATTTGTGGTTGGTTCCGCAGAGGGTGTGGGTGTCATCTTCATAAACACAGATGCTGGCTTATTCACTCTAGAGCTCAAGTCAGGGCGAGTCAGAAAGGTTGATGAGCCCGCACAGTACTTTAGCGTCCTACCCTACATGAGCTTCTACACTCCAGGTATTGGTTCTAGACCTTGCTTCTTGTCTATTGTCTTGCATTTTTGTTACGGCTTCTGTATGTTTGCTTATTTACTTGGTTGTGAACAATTAGTCGTAGTGAAAGTAATATATGTTTGTTATATATATATATTCACATATGAATCTTGCCAAGCACAATTCTCTGTGATAGAGAAAACTTAATATATGACGCTGGAGAACATAATGTAATGTATGATATGAGATTTGACATGTGAAGGACCATGACCATGCATTGGTCGAATTGCGGAATATGTACACAAACATGTTGGTCTCGTACTATCCTGTTACCTTCCGTCAGACTTTCTTATAAATAACCATCTCTTATTTTGTGGCATAGCTGAAGGTCACATCTCAAACCCAGTGTTGTAAGTTGTAACCATTGGAATTGGTACTAGCATATAGCTCACCAAAGTAAAATGCTGAATTGGAGTTTGTTATGAGTTTTGTACATGATATATTTTAGATCATGGCACATTGTTATCGCTAATACAGATTAACTGATCAAAGTGTGCTGCTGGTTTCTTTCAGAGCTGCTATTATGAAGTGTGAAGTCGTTTATTCTCTGTTCAGCAGTTTACTTACAAATTGTGCAAGTCCTTACAATTAATTGATGTTGTCTTGTTGAATTCGTCCTGATCATAATGTCAAAAGGTTGTATTTCAGATTAATATGTGAGGCATATTTCTGCTACTGTTTGCCTAATTCTTGGCTCAGCTACTTGGAACAGAAATTATGTGTAATCTATGTCGTCTCCCTTTCATGAAATTTTAGTATGACTTCAATGTTGATCTTGTCTTTAAAGGATATGTCAAGTAGCAGTACCAGACTTCTTGGAAAAACAATTGGTGGACAAGGAACTTACTTTCACCACAAAGCGTTTAGCATTTGTAAATAGATTCTAACAGGCGCGGAACTCGGATGTTTTTCACTTTTACTAAAACTTGGAAACTGATGTTGGGATGTCCTGTCCTAAAATAAGTCACCTCTTGTTTCTGTAGCCACTTTTCAATTGTGGACTCAGGTCCGGTTATTCTTCTGTGCTATTAGATGCAACATTACCCCTGGAATAAAATGTCTCTGTTTTGCTACTGCTGTTGATTGGTCAAATAGTTGGTGAAGCATGAAGTGCATGCTAGGTTCAAATAGAGATTGCTAAATATTTATTCAACCTTGTTGATATTGCATTATCACTTTACCTTGCTTCAGATTTTTCGTTAAGATGCATTAAATTACTTTCTGGTTTAGCTGAAGCTCACATGTCAAATGCAGTCCTGTAACCCTTGGAACTAGTTATACATACAGCCGCACATCAAATTATAAATTCTAAGATGGACAGTTGGTTACGGGTTTTCTGCTTGGTATTTTTTTTTCAGATCGTGGCATATTGTTGGCGCTAGCGAAGACCCACTGATCTCTGATGTGCGGCTCAATGGTGATGAATTGCAAAATGGGCAAACCCGTCATCTCTAGTCTGCTGCCGTTGGCTTCTTCCAAGCTACTAATACCAGGTTGTATTTTGTCTCTGTTGAGGAGTTTTAAGCGTGAAGTGGTGCAAGTCAATCGTGATCAGTTGCGGTTGCCCTCGTTCAGTTCATCATGATAATGTGGCTAGAGAATTTGCACTTCAGGTTCATAAGTTGGTTTCTTATCTGTTATGCAGTTTAAGTGTGAATCGTGCGAGCTACCATGTTTGACCAGTGGTTCTCGTGTCGAATTCGCCCTGATCATGTCGAGCGAGCGAACTGTATTTCTGTTTAGCATATAAGGTGTACTTCTGTTACTGTTTGCTTAAATGCTTGAGTTGGCTACATGAAACCTAGAAGACTCTGCGGCATTTCCATTTTCTGAAAAAAAAAATGTCACGCAATGTTTTCCTTGTCTTGGAAAATGCCGTTCCTGTGGTTTTTGGATTGCTATGTGGTTTGCTTCAAGGAATCCATGACGGAGACTCCAGCTTCTGAGGGCGCCCATGCTACCGGAGAATGGCTGAATGCTGAGGCTCGCTTCGGTCCAGCGCACTACTACCCGGTGATCCTGCAGCTCGAGCGTCTGTGTGCTGCCTGCAGCTTGACGCCCCAACTGCTGACTTTGACGCGTTTCCTGGACACCAAGAGCAAGAAGATGGACGGCCCCGGGACCTTGGTCTCCCCTACAATACGACAACGCTGGAGCTGCACTTCCACGCCCCGCTGATCATTGTGCCGGTGTCTCTTCTGTTGCGAGTGATCGAGTCCGTGTACTACTGTAGAAATAGCTATCTGTCGAGCAGTTGGCTTAGAACTGAAGAAGAGAGATTGAAGACAGACAGACAACAACAACCAAAAGGGCAGGGGGGGTTACTGAAGAAAGACTTTCCATGATTTTCATGTTTGTTTACCGGTCATGAAGACTAAAATGTAAAAACTGGAAAATGAGGAGCTAAAAAACTGAGGTACTAGACTGAATGAAACTGAATGATATGTGTGGAAATACTGAGAATAAGGCCATCGCAATGCAAGCTCGCAACTGAATAAAAATAAACTGAATAATGAAAAAAATTGACTGTAGAATAAGACAGATATAATAAACTCTCAGTATTGATAGACTGAACAACGATACAAGCTCACAGACTAAGTAGGAACAGAAGCCATGGAGAAACTGTAAGCAAACAACACATAGCTTCCAAACCTTCTTGTGACCTCAGTACACACATCTAACATAAACATAAGACGCACAAGAAATGCACCAACACATCAGATCAGCTAACCAAATGTCTTAGAAACCAGTCACACTGCACTCCAATTCCACACACTGTTTGGGCAGCTGAGCCAAGGAGTCCAGCACTCTAGTCCTCATCGGAGTAGTCAGATTCGCTCGGCTCCGACGCATCTTCATCCTCAGACTCCTCAACGTCGTCGCTCCCGGAATCGGCGTAGACTATCGCCACCTTCCTCTCCCTTACTGTCCTTCTCGGTGCAACTGGCTCGGCAGAGCTGCCGGAGGGAGGAGCCTCGGCATCCTCTGCCCCCGTTGAAGCGCCCGCCGCCCTCTGCAGAAGCGAGCCGCTCTTCTTGTTGAAGGGGGAGGACCTGATCCTCCGCACCTTCTTCTCAGGAGAAGGCGCGCTGAGGTTGCTGTCATCAGTAGGCTTGAGTATTTCCTCCATCACTTTCTGCTTCATCCCTTTGCTCTGAGCCGGCGCCCTCTTCCTGATGGTGGTAGCTTTCGGCTTCTCGGCGGCAGGCTTTCTTCCCTTGGTCTTCTTCTCAACTTCCATGGAAGACCCCCCACCCTCGCTCTCATGGCGGGGCTCTGCCATGTCTTCGTCAGAGGGCTCGGCTAAGGATGACATGGCCTTCTTTGCTGCGCCCCTTTTGCTTGGTCCGTTCCTCCCTTTCTTTGCCTTCTGCTGTTCTTCTGTTTCCATGGCTGCACAAGTGGTTACGCCATCAGCTTATAAACATCTAAAACATGGATATCTGATGTTCACAAACGCAACATTATGTCAGTGGCCATTACCACTAGGTTCTGGAGAGGAGTCGTCAAGATTATAAGCGGCCAGACGGTCTTTGAGGTGAGCCACTTCGTCGTCCTCTTCATCTTTCACCGGTGCACTTGCCTATGAAATTGTTACATTGAGGCTTGTTATAAAGCAGCAAATAAACTATGCCAAGCAGAGTGAGACAAGGCTTGATCGAAGAACCAACCTTCTTGGGTGGTGGTTTCTTCTTTTGCGCTGCAGGTTTCGGTTTCGGTGGTTCAAAATCTTCGTCGTCGCTCCCAGCCAAATTTGCCTTGAAAATTTTGGTTGTTTTATCAGTAAAGGACAAGTACTGCAACTCAAGAAATGTATCACTTGTGTTACTCTGTACCTTCTGAGACTTGGCCGCAGCCTTCTTAGGCTGTCTCTTGGGTGCTGCATTAGATTCCTTTGCGTTTTTGGCACGCTTACGTGATCTGTCATTCTGTTCAGCCTCAAGTTTTGCATCAAGCACCTGTATCGAAGTCAATGAGTGAGAAGAGCAGTGAAACACATGACGTCAAGCAAAACCTGCTCAAGAGAAAAAAAAACACATAACAATAGAGAGAAACACTGCTTACATCCAGTTCCTTCTCAAGAGCATCAAGGTCTCTCAGCCAAAGAGTATTTGGCTCTGTATTACTCAGGATATTCAGATCTTCTTCTACCTTATCCTGCTGCGCGATGAGTTCCTTCACCTTCTCCATAGTCAAGGTACCAATAGACATTGCGAGAAGATACTCATAATCACTTGCTGCAGCTTCAGCAGGACCATCATCATTTTCTTCATCTACTTCTGTAGATCCTACAGCAACTGGCTCGGCCGTGGGTTTTTTCTTTGGGAAAGGATCATATTTCTTCTGCTTCAGCTCCTGGAATAGCTCTGCCCTCTTCCTGTTATTGACTATGATGTCCCCAGAAATAACAGCGAGAATAAACCTAACTTTGTTCTTATACTTCAGCAACTCAATCCCCATGTTTTCCAACATTACTTTCTGCACAGCATATGGTAGTTAGTTAGTACAGTAGTTTGCAAATGAACAGCCAAAGGAAAAGGTCAACATGTACCTTTCGTCTGACATAGAAGTCGAGCCTCAAATCAAAGAACTCTTTAAGTACTGTAAAGTTAACATAATATCAGTGACAAAACCGCACGAAAAAGGACTTGTAACTATAATACAGGTCCGTGTTGTTAGAGATACTCACCGTCCTCTGGGGTGTCATATTTTCGGATTTTACCATTCGAGTCAAACAAGTGCATGTTTGTTGTTCCTATTGTGGTCGTCAGCTTGAATTTCTTCTCAAGGCCTTCTTGCTTGGCCATATTCATGTTTTGCTCCGTCAGGATAAGCTCAAAATCTACATCCGCATGATCACACTGCGACCTTATTTCCTGTAAATTGATTCAGTTCAAGAAAGTCAAAACATCTGAAACCCCAAGAGAATGAACTATTTGTACTATTAACTACCTCTAACAATGGTGGTTCCTTGCTCTTCTCCTTTTCCTTTTCCTTGTCCTTTTCCTTCTTCTTCTCCTTGTTCTTGTCCTTGCTCTTTTCCTTTTCCTTAATAGGAATAGGACACATGGATTCAAGAAACTCTTTGTAATCTGTAGTCCAGCGGCGGACAGGAAGCTCAGTAATTTTAAGCCTGGTGTCAGCAACTTCCTCTATAACACCAGTGATGGTATATGTCACACCAGTTGCCTTTGAGCTTGTCTCCTTCAAAGAGCCCTGTCAGGTGATGAACAAAAATTTGCATCAAAATCATTTGTTGCATTAAAGCAGTCAAACTGTCAATGTAGCAGAAATATGCTAGTAAAAGCATCGCACCGACCTTGAACCCCCTGTACCAAGGAACCATTGGTACGATAGTCTCGTTATTTAGCAACCTTTTCAGATTAGCAATAATGTCTCTTGGATTGTAGTTTGGGACATAGGTGCTCCATCCAGTGCCAATGCCTTCACTTCCATTGACCAAAACCATGGGAATGATTGGCATATACCTGAACATAACGTGGCATATTTTAGGTACACAAAAATAAATTGAATTGCAATCATAATTGGTAGGATGAATGTTCAAAGAGATAATATATATTACCAACTGGGTTCAATTGACTGCCCATCTTCATTCAAATAGTTCAGAAGAACATCATCATCCTTTGGAAAAATTAAGCGGGTGACAGGCTGTAATCTGGTGAAGATGTACCTAGCACTAGCAGCATCTTTCCCCCCCTGAAATGAATGTAAACAAGCAAAGAAGCATGAGAACCCGTTACAAACAGAGTCATATGGTACTTGGCTTTAGCAAAAGCTAACCCACCGCATTTCTGGTACCAAACTGGCCACGGGGCTCCAAAAGATTGATATTATTGCTGCCAACAAAATCCTGAGCCATTCCTATAATTGTGCTTGCTAGACTCTGCTCACCATGGTGGTATGCTGAGTGTTCTGACACATAACCAATAAACTGTGCCACCTGTAGCCCACAAAAGGTAACAAATTAAGGAATATGCATGATGATTCCAAATACACAAATTCAAAAGCTCTTTGGCGAACCTTTGATTCTTTAACCAAATTCTTCTTGAACGAGCAAAACAAAATCTTCCTCTGTCCTGGTTTAAAGCCGTCGACCATTGAAGGTATTGACCGTTCAAGGTCTGCCATCGAGAAGAGTATCAGCTCTTTGTTGATAAAATCACTGTACTTGATCCGTTTCTCCCGTTGGTCAAGGCAAGTTCCAGGCTGCAATATGGTTTGTGTGTTACTATTGATACAGAATAAGGGACTTGTTTCAAACTGGGAAATGATGCAAATATTAAACCTGATAGTTGGTCAGCCAGTCCTTCCTCTCAGCAATCTTTTTCTTGCTGAATGCTAACTCAATAGCCTCACCATCTTCTTTGTCATCAG